CCGAGGGTCGCTTCCCTCTCGTGTTTTGCGTTGACCTCGGCTGGGAGAGCGCCGACAGCAGGATCCCGCAGCGCTCTTCCCCACCCAGCATTGTTGGCCCCTCGCTACCCCAACTCTTCCCGAGTAGTCTCGTTAATTCCCTGTCAGCAGAAGCGGCCAAGGGTCGCGTTCCCATCCCGCGGCGTTTACGGGTTGCAAAGATGCAGACAGCCGTGCTCTCCCTCCTCGCCGGTTATCCTTCTCTGACACTAGGTTGTTCCAAGGTATCGTGGACATTCTTCCTTCTCCCTTGAATTGTCACTTAGCTGCCCTCTAGACCCCTCTTTTAACATGAACGTAAACCCAGCCGGCCTCTGGGTTTAGCCCGAACAGGCCCCACTCGTCGGCGGAAGTGGAGTTATTAAAGAAGTCATCCAGACGATACAAGCAAACACATTTTCTAGTGGGTTTTGGCCTGAAACACACAAAATTCCCTTCATCCCCTCCTCCCTCCTTCTGCGAATATAGAATTGGCTTCCTGTGGCTACACTTGAGTATCCCGACCTTTTAACGTTAATATATCTGGGGAATAATAGTTATCACCCATCCACGACAGAGTGCTGAATTTAGGTACACTTAGCTGAGATTTCATTTGCATTCCTTCTGTGAATTACTCTGAATTTAGTGGCTGCTCCTTCATTTTAAAACAGAAGAACCAACGCACTAGGCTTTTGAGTCCAGGGTTAGATCGAGGGTAGGGTGGGCAAGTGCGTGGCGCAGGCTGAGTAATAGTAGGAGCCGGCTAAAAACAGTAACTTGAAAACTGAGGCCCTTGTTTGCAGGCTTAAAGAAAGTCAAGGGGCTGGAGAGGGGTGCGTCGCCTTCCTCACCCCTACCCTTTTTTAGCCCTTTTTGAAACCTCAGAATTTGCCAAACCGCTTTCATTTGTTTTTCAATTAAAATGCAAATCATTCGCTTTCAAACACAGTCCCCCCCAAATATATATATATTGTTCAGAGACGCGGGGGGCGGGGGGCGTCGCGACCACGTGTGACACGTTCCATTCCTAGGGGTTGCTTAGAAATGTCGGACTTTATTAGGTCGTGGGCAGAAGCGCGCGCGGGTCCTGGGGGTTCCCCGAGGGAAAGAAGTCCGGACTCTCTAGGGCGTGTGTATGCAGTGTGTAAGATGGCCCCGACCGAAAACCGAACTCCCGCATCCGCGTCGGGATCTGCTCCTCCAGGACGCTGTCCTGAAGGAGGTTTTAGCTCTGGAGGGACAGGGCTATCTTTCCCCGCGAGAGACTGGGGCAGCCCACCCGCTTCGAGGACGCCCCTCGCTCTCCCGGCTCCCAGCTGGAGACAGACGGAGCAGATCGATGATGAACACCAACACACCAGGCAAGAGGCACCGGCCTTCCTTCAGCGCTTCGCAGCGTGCGTCTGGAATACACACTGCCTCACGCGGGATTCATGCACCCGGGGTGCACCCCCGGGGATCGAGGTACACAGACCCCAGATTTTTTTTACTGTCACAATTAAGAACAATGTTGCTATTTTAATTCCCCAATGTGAATGATAAGTAAAAGCAAACGATTGAGACTTCTTACCCGTACCCAGTTTTGCAACTATTTACCGATGGCAATTAACCCGGAGTTGGGTGGAGTTGAATCAATCTCTCCTGGTGTCGGTCTGTCTCTTTGATTTTGCTCTGTCTCTACCTCACCCACCCCAAATCTGATACTAAATTTACAATAGGAAAATGCTCAGTTCTTTCCCAGGTCACGCTATTTACATGAAATAAAGGGGAGTAGCTTTTTAAAATTGGAATCTTTGGGAATCACTGGCCTCCTTCCCTCTCCATTCCTACCTAGTCCTTGAGAATGCTGTGAGGAATGCGGGGGATATGAGGAGGTCGCTGGTGGCCAAGGCGCGCGGTCCAGGCGGAAGGTTGTGTGCCACCTCCGTGTTGGAGACTCCCGAGGCGAGAAAAAGTTTCGTTTTCAACGAATCGAGAAGCAGAGGACCCCAACACTCGGGGCAGGGCCGGGCTACACGCGCCACTCTCCTGCAGCAGTCTCCCGGCCTGCCGAAAGGGCACGGCGCTGGGGTTTAGACCCATACCCCAGCAAAACATACTCGCGGGGAAATACAGACAGCCCCCTCATCATCTCTATTCTTGCTCTACTCAGCATAATTCACATTAAGGAAAGACTTCACCTTCCCCGGAGTCAGATTCTAAGGTCTATGAGGTGATGGGTTTAGCCCAGTCTTGAAGTTAATGAAAAAGCGTCGGGAAGCAAGAAGGGAACTTTACTTTTATCTCAGAAGTGAATAATAAAAGTGGCAAAAGATAAACAAAAACCCCTCAAGCTCAAGCTCAAGTTGCCACCCTTAAAAGACCAGTGCGTCGGAAATGAAGGTTATCAAAGCGGAATAATCCCTCTGGCTTTTGGTGGTTGGATGCAAATGAGTGCTTTTGGCACTCATAGCCAAACTCCAACCATGGGTGGTGCCGCTGGAATTTTATTCCTTTATTTATTATAGCTGTTTATTTCTATTTTCTGCGAATTAAGTTTGGACTTAATGTTCTCATCGAAATTACTCTAGTCACCATCCCTCAATAGTGTGTTACTTTAATATCTTGAAATCTCTAAATTGTTCAAGGGTCCTCCTCCCCATCTACACAGCTCAACCCTGCTGGAAATGTAAAGATCCCCAGGGATGGAAGAAATTGAGAGGGAATAAGGGAAACCACCCTCCAACTCAAACCCTAGACATCCCATCACCACAGCGCAGAAACCGGAACATCTCCATCTCCCGAAACAACCCTGACCTTGAGAGGAGGAGTAAGAGTTTCGGCGACGGTTTTCAAAAATTTACAGTGGATTGGGGGGAGGGTATAACCAGGTACTTCTGTATCTAAAGACTCCACCTCAATTTTGGTGATTCTGCCCCCGTAAAACTCAAAACAAATAATAATCACAGGGGAGGAAAGTTTAAAAAGTTCACAGCTCTCAGGTCGAAACATCACACGAGGAATAAATATTCCCAATAAGCTGATTCCGTTCCCTGCGAATTGAGTAAACCTATAAATGATAACATCGTGGGGGGGGGGCGGGGGGAGACCCAGGAATGAAAAGAAAATGAAGGAGAAGGAACAGCGAAGGAGAGCGGGAGGTGGCAAAGACGGAAAAGGACGATGCTTCGGCCTACAAGAGGATTAAGGACATCTATAAGGCTTAAGGAGCAACAAATTAATTTACACAATCCTGGGAGAGCCCAGATGGCCTTTAATTAATCCCTTCAAAAGAAGGAGCCAGGCCAGGGCTACGCCGGCTGCCTGCTCCATTAGCTCCATTTTACAAGAGACCGGACTCTGTTCGAGGTGAGGCGTCGCGAGCTAGTGGGGAAAAGGGGGGTAGGGTGACGCGAGCAGGCCAGGGGGAGGCGAGGGAAGAATATGAACTGCTTTTCCATAAAAGGGTTGGGTTTCCATTATTCTTCTCTTTAAAAAGTAATACCCTCTTCATCTCTGCTCCCCCCTCCCCTTTCCCGTTTTATTTAACACAATTAATTGAGGCGTCCACTGGGCCAGAGGCCGAACCTCACCACTCGCCAGGCCCCGCCTCCGGGCCCCACCCACAGGAGGGATGGAAGTGGGAGGGGGCGGGAACGAGGCGGGCGCGGCCCAACGGCTCGTCCTCCTAAGCCAATCAGAAGGCGTGGCGCTCCCGAGTGGGCGCGACCCGGAGGCGACGCGAGGCCCAAGGCTGAGTGCTATTGGAGACGGTGGTTACGCCCCTCCGGCCTGCACCCCGCTCCTCGGCCCCGCCCTTGCCGGCCGCCTCGGAGTGACGTCCTTCAAAGTTCTCATTTTGGACCCCCATTTCCCCCTCCCTCTCGTCCCCCAGCTAAAGAGGGGTAGGGAGTGATGCAAATGTTTTATTACCTTTGAGAGCTTCATCTGAACTGTCAGGCCCGAAGGGAAAAGGAGAGGAGAGAGAGGCAGTGGAAGAGCCACGGAGAGGGTCAGCTTGGCCAGAGGACAGGACTTAGAAGAGCGAAGCCTGTAGAGCCGCGAAGAAAATGCGAGAGAGGAGAGGCAAAGGCGGAGAGTGAGAGGAAGAGAGGGCGCTGGGAGTGGGGGGTGGGGCCGGGGGCGCCAGGCCCGTTTTCAGAAGTGGACAGACGAGTGAAGCTGTAACCGAAGCCGTCAGACTTTTCACTTAGTCTGTTTTTCCGTGTTTTTCTCGCCCTTTTTCTTTTCAATATTGCAACTCTAGTGCCCCGTGGCCCAGAGGGGAAGGCAGGTCGGCGCGCCGAATCCGGGAGCCTCAGGGATTGGTGGCACTGCCCTTTCTGGCGCAGAAGCCTCGGGCAGCGCTGGCGGAGGAAGCCCGCCCAGAGGCCAAATCCTCCCGCGGGCTGGATGCTCTCTCTCCCTCCGCGCTCCGAGCGCCGAGTGCGAATCAACCTCGTGGCCTGAAGAGCAGGGCATCCAAGTAAGATTGGACAAGCTCATCGGGCGGAACCCGGCGTCCTTTGAACCTCCCCAAAGAAAAAGAGCCAGCCCCCACTCTCCCACATCAAAGCGGAGATTCGGTGACTCTTAACTTTGTTACAAGCTCTTTGGGGCCGGCTGGGGTTTTGTTTTGCTTATTTCCAAGAGGGAGAAGATGAGAAGTAGCGCACTTTGAGCGGCGAGGAAAAAGTGAGGAAGAGAGAAGAGCCCGGGATTGAATCCGGGACTCTAAGAGGGAAAAGACAGCCCAAACCACCTGGACCCTCGCTGGTCTCGGCGAGCCACCGCCTCTCGACTGGTGTGTTTGGACATTTCTGCTGCGCAGTTACGAGAGCAACTCTCAGCGGCTGCATTCTTGGCCCAGTTGGCAGGTCGCCTCCTGGTGTGCGGAGCGACTCCTCGCTCGCGCCCTCGGCGCTTCTAGCTCTCCTGAGCCCCTCCGGGGGCACCGGCCGGCGCTCCCGCTGCGTGGCTGCGGGCTCCGGCCTGATCGTGGGATGTTAGCGGTGGGGGCGATGGAGGGCACCCGGCAGAGCGCGTTCCTGCTCAGCAGCCCGCCCCTGGCCGCCCTGCACAGCATGGCAGAAATGAAGACCCCGCTGTACCCCGCCGCGTACCCCGCGCTGCCCGCCGGCCCCCCCTCCTCCTCGTCCTCCTCGTCCTCCTCATCATCACCCTCCCCGCCTTTGGGCTCCCACAACCCAGGCAGCCTGAAGCCCCCGGCCGCGGGGGGGCTCTCATCCCTGGGCAGCCCCCCGCAGCAACTCTCGGCCGCCACCCCACATGGCATCAACGACATCCTGAGCCGGCCTTCCATGCCCGTGGCCTCAGGGGCAGCCCTGCCCTCCGCCTCGCCCTCCGGTTCCTCCTCCTCTTCCTCGTCCACCTCCGCTTCCTCCGCTTCGGCCGCCGCGGCCGCAGCTGCGGCCGCTGCCGCCGCCGCCTCAACCCCAGCGGGGCTGCTGGCCGGCCTGCCCCGTTTCAGCAGCCTGAGCCCACCACCGCCGCCGCCCGGGCTCTACTTCAGCCCCAGCGCCGCGGCCGTGGCCGCCGTGGGTCGGTACCCCAAGCCGCTAGCCGAGCTGCCCGGCCGGACGCCTATCTTCTGGCCAGGAGTGATGCAGAGCCCGCCCTGGAGGGACGCACGCCTGGCCTGCACTCCTCGTGAGTACAATTGACTGCGCCCAGTTGTGCTTGTTCTGCCCGCTCTCAGGTCATGGCCCCTGGTGTGCATGCCGAGTCCACCCTCTTGCCTGCCGAGTAGTTTGGCAGCGCCAGAATCGCACGAGTTAGGTTGGGCCAGGGCGTTCAGCGAGGAACTCTCGCTGTCCTGAGCTCCATGGTTGCGTCCAAGCGCCCCCCTCTCCCCAAGCCTTGGGCACGCCTTGCGGAACGGGTGTGCATGCGTCTCCACGGAACACAATGTGGTGCGGGGCGTGTCTCATCCGAGGCCCTGGCTGCTCCCGGAACAGCCCGGCCAGAACCGCATGCCCGTCCTGGGTTAAAGAGGTGGGGAGGGCAGGAGAGGCTACTGTGCTCCAGCCCGCACCCCAGCTTTCCAGTGTCCCATGCCGAAGTCCCACTCGACCTTCGCCAGCCTGACTGGCCTCCTCTCTACGAACCGGTGGGGACCGGCAGCCGCGAGCCCTCCACAGCCCTGAGCCGAACGCGTGTGTTTGCATGTACGTCTCGGTCCAGGGTGTCCCCACCTCACCTCGTCGCCCTCGTCCCCCGAGTACGCTCAGCGCAGGTGAGCCCACTGAAGAGAGGTCCGCGGCCCGTGGAGGAGGGCAAGCACCACTTCGGGCCGCTCCCCACCGCTGGGCCCTCGCTTTTCCACCTGCCTCGGCCCCGGACATATTGAGGGGCATCGTGGCTCTCAACATCCTAATATGAGAAAGAATCGGAGGAAGAACGAGGTAACAGGACAAAGACGGGGGAAAATGCAACATCCCGCAAAGATCTTACTCGAAACCAACTGAGTTACCCCAGGATCCCCCTAACTTATAGGTAGTTGGCCAGCGCGCCGCGGAAGCTCCCGTACTCCCAGGCGGCATTTAGGGGCCAGTCCCCTGTCCTTTCTCGCTCTGTTCTTTGCTTTTGACCGAGTCCCCGAAGTTTCTTCTGTCTCCTGATCTTTTATGGCTGAGCGGCAGTAACTGAGGGAAGCTGGGGGAGCCAAGCGGAGGCTCCCTTCGGAAGCCTCGGGACTGGGGCGGCCGGGGCGGGGGCGGCTGTCGGGGAGACGTTATTGTATTCGTTTGGATGGCCACGTAGGGACCGCCAACAAAGGCGGCGCCCCCTCCCCCTCGGCCACAGGGGGGGGGGGGCGCGATTTAACTCTCTTGTGTTCCAAAAACAAGGCGCTCTTTGTTGCGCGGGCACAGGTTAGGAAAGCGGTCAAGGAACAAAACTAGTCACCCCCATGCAAAGGCCCCGGGACCAAACGAGCCCCAACTAGACAAGGCGGTGAGAGGAGACTTTCCCACACCCCCTCCCCCCCGCCCCGTACCCACACGCCTCAATTTACTGGGCCTAGAGATTGGGCCTCGGCAAACTTCAGCAGTGCGCTCCCTCTGTTGGATGTCGTTGGGCAGAAGGTTATTTACTGCGGCTCCAAACACACGCGCTTTTAAAAAACAGGTGGGTGTAAGAAGGCAAAGCGAGAAGCGCAGTGGGACTGCAAGCACCACGGCACTTCTCGTGCCCGCCGCGGAATACACTTGCCTTTCCCACCATAACGTTGTTTCTGGAGTTCGTCTCTTCTCAGCGGAGCCGCTCGTAACTGGTTGTTTTCCCCCTTCCTTTCTTTTTTAAATCTGTTATCGTAGATCAAGGATCCATTTTGTTGGACAAAGATGGTAAGAGAAAACACACGAGACCCACGTTCTCGGGCCAGCAGATCTTCGCCCTGGAGAAGACTTTCGAACAAACGAAATACTTGGCGGGGCCCGAGAGGGCTCGCTTGGCCTATTCGTTGGGGATGACGGAGAGTCAGGTCAAGGTGAGTGGACCTTGCAAACCTCGAGGGAGAGCTCTCCCATGTACGTCATGCGCGCGCGTGTGCGCGCACACACACACACACCCCAAACTAACAAACAGCCGCCCGAGGGTGCAGTCCGAGAAGCAAGGGGAGCGATGAGATCAGCGAAGGGGGTGGAGGGGGAGGTTACAAAGGCTCTGGGATCTCTCGGGCGGGCAAACTGTTGATGAACAAAAGGAATCAAGCCTCCGCCTTTGAAATTAGGTTCATCTAGATAGCAGCATGTGCTGGGGGAACTCGCCATTATTAGAGAATAAAAGCATTACGGAAATATCAGCCCTGAGAATAGACCAGGCCAGTTAGATAGCTTCTATGTATTCTATTTGTAAGGATATTCAAGCTTTTGTTTGTCAATTCAGGCTCCACTAGTTATATAATTCCCTAATGTAGATCAGCATTATAGTGCTACTGTATTAACTTGCAGGTTAAAAAAAACCCAATAAATCCACAAGATCTAACGACTTAGCATGGATGCATCTGCTTTTAGCTTACCTGAGGCAGCCACTTTGGAATAGTACTTTTTCAAATAAAATGACAAGATTATTACTGTATTATGAAATATAAGTTTATCAATAGATGTAAGATGTTTTACTGTTTATGACAACAAATTATAATTAAAATGTCACTTACCTTATAATTGAGTTGTACGGTGTATTTCCAGGGAATCAAATAGGAGAAATCTTTCCCTGAAATATAAAGGGATTGAAACAGCTAGGTACTTTAAATCTAGTGGTTTCCTATATTTCTGGTATTCTCTTTTGTTCCTCTTTTTCATTATATTATATATATGTATGTGTATATATATATATATTTTGGTGTGTGTGTGTGTTTAAGTCTGTTTCCATTAGTTATATTGTTGCTTTTAAAATTAAGTAGGGATAACGTTAGCCATATCTGCTGGTCAGAGAGTATTTCCCTAC